ACAATTAATGGAGACCTCCATTTCATTTTCCCCATAGGTGCTTTATCATGGAAGTGAAACTGAAGAAATCTATCACTGAATGAATAGCTTCGCTCCACTCGTCTTCCATATGTTATAACACAAGAGTGAAACTGAAGTAGTCTCTCAATAACAAAGGTCAACAACTCCTCTAAACAACAAGCTTCTGGCTTGACAAAGAGGCTTAAATGTTGAACCATAACAGCCTTTATAGTGGCATGAAAGCCATCAAAAACATCAGCTACAAGAGAAGCTATCATACGCAATCTTCTGAAGCATTAACATCTTCTTACCAACATCACAAACCAGAGATTTCAAGTGTAGAAGATCACAAAAATCAACTTCACAAGGTCTAAGCAGCTTATCTCATTAGCAAACTTAAGATTCTTCCTTTTGTCGTGAAAGATTTTTATGCCTAAAACTACCTTCTGAAATCATACACAGTTTGTGAACAACACCATAACTAGCATTTAGATGACTCAACAACGAATCTAAATTTTGTGAACTTGCAGAGGTCATAAATGAGAAACAAGCAATCCTTGTTGCATTCTCTTGAAACCAACTGCATATATGCTCTGAATGTGAAAAAAGGATGTTCTAGCAACATGGCTAACCATCCTTCATCCATTCCATATTCTAGATTTTGTTGACAACTATCTAACTTTATCTTCATCTCTCTAGAAACACATCTACTTTCCAAAGATCTCCATATCGCAACATCAACATCAACAGAGAGATGGCCAGAATCTATATGTTTTAAGAGAGTTTCGGTACCTCGAACAAACCAGACCAGTAATTTTGCATCGCAAAAACAAAGCATAACGAATCTCCGGTGGTCGTGGCTGAGAACCATATAAAACACCAGCTTGAACATCAATTTCAACACAGATTTTTCTCCAAACTGATCGCCATAGCTCATCTCTCCCGGTGAAGCACTAAGCTCAACGAAACCATGAAAGGATGAAAAGTAATCCATCACATAAGCAATCGCAGAATGAACGACAAACTGAAATCGTAAATCAGAGAGTCGGAGCAGATCGACGGAGATTTCGATAAAGAAAACGAAGATCCAAGAGATTCACCAATGAATCGATCTATGCAAATCTCAAAGAATCAACGAACAACAAAGCTCAAAGTACGATTGAACCAAATGCAAGCTTACATCAACGATCTGGAGATTCCGATGGCAAGCAAAACACAAATCGAAGCTCGATCTCAAGACGCCGGAACAACCGTACAAGAAGAACGATGATTTCTCCGGCGGAATAACCACAAACGGAAAGTGAGATTAAACGCAGGATCGAAAGAGATTTTCGATCTCTTGCTGTGATACCATATTAGAGATTACATTAGAACAGAAA